ATAAACAATACGTCATTATCATGATCTGGGTACTCTTGGAAAATATGGCATATACACATATAATTAAAGACTCTCATAAAACAAAGGGGTGTGTCATGGTTGCCGAAGCAAGCTTCATTTTGACCTCTCTCAACTTCTGAATGCTTGACTTTCTATCGACACGTTTTTTGGTAAATTTCATTTTTAAAAAATGAAAAAACTTCTGTCCCAGAAATTCAACTGTAGGAAATCAAGAGTGGATCCAAGGGGGTGCAGTGGTGCGGTCACATCCCTGTCTACACATGCACCAACCAACCAATGAGCTCAAATAGCTCCCTACACAGGCGGAGCTCCCACAAGAGCCTGCATGGACAGCTGGGAACTCAGACAGCAAATTGCTCATATGTATGCATAGCACAAGCAGAGGGGATGTGGCTACATCCTCTCACTCCTCTCCTGGATGCGCCCAAGCAGAAAACCAGACTGCACCCCTAACTGGGTCATAAGCAGATGAGGACTTTCAGATCTGCAACATAGACCTTCAGCTAACACCAGAATGAATGTAATTACTCGTAGGTGGCTATCTTCTATGTGGATCAAACAGAGCATATGTTACTAGTGTTCTTCACATATATTTCCTGGCAGGATTAAAATATAGATCCTAAAGACTCAGGTACAGTTCTACTTTTGTTAGGGAGTCATTACAGATCCTGTGTTTTAGCCTGGGTCTCTCTTCTGCTCCTGTTCATCCCAGGCACATCTACATGTGCACTTTAACATGCATTAGCCTATTTTAATGTACATTACAGCTTGAAAAGTGTGCTTTCACTAATGCACATTAAAATAGGCTAAAGCACCATTTTCTGGTACCTTACAATGGAGGTACTAAATTTAATGTGCATTAGCAAAAGCATATTAATGAACATGTAGATGTGCTCCCTTACACTTCTGTTCCTAATTCAACCCCTATGCTGAGTGCAGAAAATCTCTGGAATTTGGCTTTCTAACTCTAACAAGTCTTGGCTAAGCATGTGCACACTAAGATTCATCAAGAATTTAAAATCTGGGTATTGTTAAAGGGGGTGGAGGGGTGGAAAAAGGCACATCCCCAAACCAGGAAAATCCTCTGCCCAAATTTCAAATTCCTGCTATAAAGCTCAGAAATGCTCCACCTTTTCTAGATGAGACAAAGCTGTGAGAATGATTTTGAACAAATACTTTATTTGTCCTTGATCTCATTCTCTGAAGTGGCTGAATCATTTTAGCTCAAACCTTCCAAAAAAAATAAAATAAAATTAGTTGCCATGGAAATGGTCACCAAGGCTGTTAAAATAATAAATAAATGAAAACAGGTCCTTACAATGGGAAATATCAGGCAACCTTATATATGTGTATTGCTTCCAGCTCTATCTGTAACTTATATTCCATACATTTTGAACATGCATATACAAAACTAGGAGTCCCTGAGTCCTTAATACTCTTCAGTAACATTTTCCAAATGATATAAGAGATGATTATTAAGATGCCTAAAACCAAGTTTGTATCTGTTCTCTAAAATGTAACCAAGGATATGAATACAATTTCATATTTTCTTTCAGTTATTTTATAATATGCACTGAATTAATCCTGAACGCAAATGAATTCAAGTTTGGTAAATCGAAATCTCTTTGCAGCTTTCTTCACATAGAAACACTATTTTGATGGAATTAATGAACTAGCAGTACCAAACATTACCATATGGCAAGAAACATGCAAGACAGATATTAGAGGGAAAAAAATCTTATGTTACTCATCACAAGACAAAAAGGTGGCAAGAGAAAAAAATAAGCTATGAACATCAAACTAAAAAAAAAGAAAATATGGAAAATAATCGTATCTAGAGCTTGGAAAAGAATCAAAACAAACTAAGAAAGAAACTAATGCAATTCATATTTTAAGAATGGGATATATGTTCTTTTTAGCAGGGGAATCATTTAAATGCAAAATTAAAACAATCAAGTTCTTTGCAAGCAGTAACAAACTTATTCAGAAGTAAAGAAATCAGTATAATTAGAATTTTAAAAAATAATGGCATTATATTGCTAATTTAATTCCTCTATAAGCTAGACATTTTCTTTACTACATACATACATTCAGTGACTTAAAGGACTTTCTCTATATACCTCAAAAATTCAGCACTCAGTTCATTTCTGGTCCTGTACATACATAGAGGAAATTCTCCACTGGTTGTCTGTATGGTCTTTTGGACAACTTTCTGCCCCTGATCAACACAAAGCTAGTCCACATATATAAGAATCTGGTCCTGCAAGTATAGTACGGTATTCTCCCCATTAAATCCATCTATAATTGACAACAGGTAGGAGGATAGTTCAAGTTGTTCAAGTATTAGGGAATTTAGTACAATTTATAAGTGCATAAATAAATACAGCATCATAAACTAAATATTAAACTACTGCTTGGTGTGTTTACTTTACACTCAAGCCAACTAAAGAGAAGTACTGTCTTGTGCAGAAAGCATAGGACTGAGAGTCCTGTGCCGATTTTGTTTTAGATTCTTATACCATGTTCATCACTCTAGTCTTTGAAAAAAAATTAGTAGACCATTCAAAAAGTATGACAGTCTGTCATATGCTTGGTCTCTCATCCTCTCCCCAGCAGGACCAGTGTTTGCAGTACACTGTTTTGGTTTTGAACACGTATATAATAGTATACATAGTACACATGCAGTGAGGTTTCTTATGGTTCTTAATTTCTGTCAGAGTTCTTTCTACCTGGGCCTGAAAACACTCTCTCTTCTGCATTAGTTTTATGCTCATTGCAAAAAGTTTCATTGTACAAGAGTGAGACTCTTAGTCTTTCCCCCCAGAGCTCTAGTTAATTTTTTAGGTACTCTGGGCCCAGTCCATTGAGTGCTGTGAAGATGAAGACTGAGCTATGGATTTGATACTCTATGGTACAGCAGTGTAGAGAGGGCAGGTTTAATATATTTAATGATAGCTTCTGTTGTTGAGCAAGTTCACTTCAGCCAGATGGAGTTTCTAAGTGCCAAAATCTTCATGGCCAGATAGGTTGTATTGTTGTTATACAGCCAGAAGGAGGCAAAGGTGTGAATAACTGAGGCTAGGATACAATTTAAGAGAGTGAATGGAATCTCCTTGTCAACTAGATGTGATAGAGAACATAACCTGAAGCAGCTGTGTTACATGAGATCTTGATGCTAGTGAGGAATCCAAGAGTAATAGAAAGTTATGCACTGAAGGCACCAACCACATATCTTCACCCCAAGGTGACTGCACTCCCACAACATATTCTTCAAGTTTTTCCTGTCCATCAATCTAACAATCTGTCTTGCTCAGGTTCAGCATCGGCCACCTGTTCTTTATCCAGGAGCTGATCTCATGCAAACATGTGCTGAAGGATAGCTGGTTGTTGCAGCATATTGCTAACATTTGAGTCCATGTCAGATGACTAGCATGTCTACAAGTTGCATGGGGAGAGAATTGACCCTTGGAAACTCCATGCAGAAAGGACCCTTATTCCCTCCAGGAAATACTTGGACCATTTTCGTACAGTACCCTCAACATCTGCTCCCTCTTTCAAGCAAGGCAAGAGTATTTTATTCCAAGGATTCTATTCCTAGTTCTTCTACTGACTTCCTGCACAGTTTACATAAGAACATAAGAAATGCAATACTGGGTCAGACCAATGGCCCATCTAGCCCAGAATTCTGTGTGGCAGAAGGGGATGCTTTAGAGGGAAAACATTGAACCCGGTGTATCTGTAGTGATCTATACCCTGTTCATTACCCCCATCTGGCACACACCATCAATTCCAAGCAAATCAATTATGCCTCAGTTTCTTCATTTTTGGGTGCATAGGGTTATGCCTCAGGTGGTAAGACTTGATCAGCAGCAATGTTTGTAGAACAGTGACAAGTGGAAAGCGGTATCACTGGGCTTAGTACTGTTATTACCAAGTTAACGGAAAAGCGTCTATTTTCATGCAGGATAAGGGTGGGTCAGGAAGTGTCATTCTGTTAGTGAATAAAACTGAGGGAAAAGGAACTTCAGACAGTAATGTCCATAAGCTTAATAAAGGCTAAACCCAATGATTAAGAGAGGTCAGTATCCTGAAGGAAGCAGGACAGACAGACAGGGACAAGCAGAAGTTATTTTTATATTCATTTTCTGTATCTGCAGTCAAATGATGTTTCCATGTCAACTCAAACACTTCTTTAGCCTCCCAAAGACAAAAAATAAATGCAACATATTAAATTACTATGTCCAGAAAGAAAGGCATCCAAGCAACACTATGGATTACTGTAAATTCCTCACTGCTGCCAACCATGGCAGCAGTGGTCCTTAACTGCAATGACTGATACTAATGTTATTTCTTCCTAGCATTGTGGTTATTTTAAACCCAGAACAGCATTACTCACAGATTATTTTATGTGCATTCTGATGTGGTTAGACTGAAGGCACAGAAGCATTTTCTAAATGGGAATTGGCATTGTCTATTCTATGAAGACAGGGGAAAATTCTTCCCCCCTCCCCACCATCCAAAGGTCCAGTACAGTACTCATGCATCATTTAAGACCCACTTAAGCCATAACAATAGGGCTTACTTAGGAGTGAAATGGTACATTGGCTATGTACTGGACCTCTCACAGGGAATCGTTTCAGTCATACACTTTCATCTCAGTAGCTTTGTTATGTGAAATTCAGATTTTTACATATACTTCTGCCAAATTCAACAATAACTGAGTGTCTTTGGAACACTCTTACATGCTGATACTGGATGATACTTCAGCTACTGTTTATGTTGTTTCTGATCCTGAAACCACTAAATTACACTTGTAATTTGTCACTTTATCTTGTAAATAAACTCACCAATAAATTTTACATTTAAGGATTGGCATATCTTTCTCCTTTTACTATTTTTCTCTTTTTATCCAAATTCTTCCCATTTATTTAAAAAAAAAACGTTTGCACAAAGTAAAGTAGAATGAGTTGTGATTTTACCTTATTACAGTTTTTGGATACTGGACAAAGAGCATTGCTAGACATATTTTCCTTGTCAGGCATCCCTAAAAGAAAACAGAAATTAAATCAATGCAGCATACTGCATTCTCTAAATACCAAAGGACTCATTCAGTAAAGTAATGTTGAATTAGGAAAGTTTTATCAATTTAATTCCATGTTTTTGTTGCATATATTTTATCTCCAGTGCTCATTGCTGCATTCCATTAAATTCACCTGACATCTGAGCTCAAAATGTCTTAGTCTTAATGAGGTTTAGGTTGTAGCCGTGTTGGTCTAAGGACATAGGCAGACAAGGTTCCTTGGGTGAATTTGATATCTTTTATTAGACCAACCCAATTAGTCTTAATGAGACATCTAATATCATCTAATATCTTATATTTTTGAGGAAACATACGGAATGCAGTGTAGATATATGCAAAGTGTCACTTTAGGCATGTCACCACAAACTATGTTAAGCAGTGCTGCTCCGCTTAAGCTAATCCTGAACAAGAAGCAAGGTAGCCATGTTTGTGTGGTACTGAGTGGGCTAACAGCACAATGCGTTACAGGGCACTGCTATCTGGCATGGTAAGTTTATAGTTGCCCATATGTAATTTACTAGTCACATGAGTTTTAAAGGAACTTCATATAGCTGTTGAATGCAGTTCTTGACTTGAACGGTGGATACATGGTAACTAATTCATTCTATTCCTCCACTTATCACTGCATACTAGGGTTCATAAACAATTTTAAAAAATTAATCACAATTAATTGTGAGATTAAAAAAAAATAGTTGCATTTTAAACACGCAGTTAAACAATAGTCAGCACCCCCCCACTCAACAGTCCAAAGCCTGTGCACCCCATGGCTCTTCCCTGTCACCACCAACAGTGTACAGCCCCAGCCCACACTGCACCTGCTCTGGACATGCCCCGGCTGGAGCGGACCAGCTGGAACCTACATGAACAACCTGACCCCACCAGCCCTGTGCCTGGCACCAGACTCACCTGCCCACACTGAGCAGCAGCAGTGGCCAGGCAGAAGCAGCTGCTCAGCATGGAGGAAAAGCGGCCCCTCCCCCTTGCTGCTGCTGGGCCCTTCTTGCTGCAGCCACTTGGAGCCTGCACCCAGGTTGCCCTGCGGCTCCTCTGCACTGCCACTGCTGCCCCCCAGGGTGGCCCAGAGGTGGCGGTAACATCAGCGGGAAGGAGCCACAGGGCAGCCTGGGCATGGGCTTTGGGTGGCTGCAGCAAGAAGGGTCTGGCAGTGGTGAGAGGAATGGTCGCTTTTCCCCTGTGCCAAGTTGCAGCTTCTGCCCAGCTGCTGCCACTGCTGCTGCTTCTCAGTGTGGTCGGGCGTATCTGGAGCAAGCACGGGGCAGGCTGGGGTTGGGGCTGTGTGCACAGGTTCTGGCTGGTCTGGAGCTGGTCCACTCTGCTGGTCAAAAAGATGTGCATGATTGATTCAATTAAAAAAATTAACATGTTCAGTTGTTTTTGCGTTAAGCACATAAGCTAACTGTCATTAATTGACAGCCCTACTGCATATCCATTACTTTTCTTTTATTACTGTGTGGGAAAATGTTTTCTGTGTAAAGAATCCACTTTACTTAAAGAAAACAAAACTTCAAAATCTAAGGATTTAAACTTCAAAATCTATTTACTGATTTACTTCTTACTAATAACTTTTACTTACTGTCATTGTTGGAGCCAGTTTCCATAACACCATAAGGAGGAGCCAGAAGTCCTGACATATATTGTCGATATTTCTGAAAGACAGTGACAAATTCACTAAGATACAGATGCATGCTCCATTAACTAGATGATGTCATGGTTACATGCATAAGGTCTTTTACTTCAAATGCACCTAAACTGTGCATTATCAAGCTAGTAAGATGTGCCCTTTCAAATTTTAATGCTATAATAAACACAATACCATTTTAAACAATTCCTTGCTTCTTGATCTGTATACACTGCACTGACTCTAAAAAGATCTAATGGTTCTCCACATATCTTGGTCCCTGGTGTATCCAGAATGTATAATCTTGAATTCCTGCATGAATGGATGTAACATTAGGTATTATCATCTTGTCTATAACTTCTGGGCTAGACAAAGTGAAATATATGTTCTAGAAAATGTGAATTTAGAGTCACAATTCTGAGCTATTTATTCTATCATGTTAAACAAGCAGACATTTCCAAAAACCACAAATAAACATACTAACCATATTAATACACAATTTCACATACATATTTAAACTGTACTATCAGGCTGAACTTTGTATTGATAAACTAATGTCTTCATATCATTGTAAACTATATATCTGTGGCTGGTGTACAGTAATTGACATTGTTGTTCAGTAAACAGTAGCAGAATGGAAACATGATCAATGAAGCTCAAAGTTCATATCACTCTCTGTCTAGGGCCTAAGTAACTTCTCAACTACCAAGGAAATAACACTACTGAAAATACACTCAATGCATCTTACCTAATAAAAACCATATAGCAAATAAATGTGGCATTTTTTGGTTTTAATCCTATCATACTTCTGACATACTTCAGGATAAACAGGTATAAAACTCCTTTGAGCTGGCAGGCAACAAGCTTGTACAAGAGGGAATACCAATCAATAGGGGAAGATTCATCTTTTAGATTTTCGTTTAGCTCTGCAGTAGCTGAGCTTGAACAAATAACTGGTTTGAATTCATGTAGGTGACAACTAAGTATACAAATAATTGAACTGCAAAACTTCTCTCATAATACAATTTTAATTAAAAAGGTTTATCCTTTGCCCTCTGGGACTGGTTTAATGCATTCACTTTAAATATGCTGTCTGCTGGATTTTAGCAGATGCTTGAATTACTTCTTCAACAGTTATTCTCTGTGGAAATGGATATAAAAATGTCATTAATTCTGACCCTGAAGAATGAATGCTTTGTATTCTAAACAGTCACAAAAGCTATATACTGTATATTAATCTTAATAATCCAACCATGTTTTTTAAGACAAGCATTAGATGCTAAAAGCTTAGTAATATGTTGTTTAAAACTCAGCCATAATCCAGATGTAAACTCTTTGGAGCAAAATGTTTGCAAATATAAAAAAGTATATTATAAGGAACTCTACATACTTTTCAGTTTCACCAAGAAAAATCTCTTCTCCCATTCCCTTACTGTGCATTTCTTCTGCATCCCATATTCCACTTTTGTTCTGTGCAAGAAACGTTCACTGACTTTTAAGTTGTTGACTTATTTGTCAACAGCACAAGTGTTGTTGACAAATAACTTCTCTCACAGTGGGGTTGCCAAATAAATGAATATATAAAACTAAAAAGCACAAAAATAAAAGTTAAAGAAAACATTGGTTTAGGTCTAAGGAAAAATTTAAATTTTGGTTTTAATTTTAAATGCATTTAAAATTAAATTTAGCTAAATTTGGCTTTAAACATGGTGCAGAAATAAACCATTGAAACACTTTATTCTAGGAAATGTAAGAAGTGTACTTTTTTACTTTTTAGAATTTTTGTTTTCTCACTCCAGTTGAATTTGTCAAATAGTTTTAGGTGCCCTAAAACTGGATTTTTTTCTGTGAATAATTGATTAATGTGAGAAAATTTCTCCTAAGTTTTAAAAATGAACATTATCATGCCATGTTCATCACTGCCATACAGCACTGCAGTTTATTCTCTAGTTAATGCTTAACAAGCTTCCTGACTACTCTTCTCCTAAAAGGAAACAGATACAATATCATTTCTAAGATGGTTTGAGGAACAACTCAGTGAAAAATAAAAACAGAAGTATTAAAAGTGTAATGAAAAGGACATAACCAACAGCAGCAGAACATGAATCCAGAACCTACCACATCAAGGGCATGTCCCAGCGAGCGCACACATGCAATTTGCGGCACTACAGACCCATCTGCAGCATCGCAAACCACACATGCCACATATGCAGGCGCTTGCTGTGCTGCTAATTTACAGCATGGCAGGTTATTTTCACATCAGGGGATGCTGATGTCAGAGAAACCTGTGGCAGAAAAAAGCAGGGTGGCATGAGTGATGGCAGTGTGCACTGCCTGAAACCAGAGCCTGACTGGCCAGAGCCATGCTCCAGCTGCTAGCCAGGATCCGCATGCCCAGATCACTGCTGCTGGAGCCCTGGGAGGGTCTCAGGTAAGGCTGCTGCCCCCAGCCTCTCCTTCCCAACCCAGTACAATTTGCCACATGCCAGAACACATGTGCAGGGGCGTTCCTCCAGGGACAACTATCGACAGCACAAATATGTGCCACTGTTAGTTGTTCCTGGGGAATGCACCTTCCTGCTCATGGGGGCGTGTCCCAAGAGTGCAAATTCCCACACTTCTAAAGAAGAACTCTTCTTGCTATGATATGTAACTAGGCCTCAACATCTAGAATTAGCCACAAAGGCCGGATCCAGACATGCAGGCAAGCGCAGTTTGTGGCTCCACAAACCTCTCTGTGGCACCACAAACTGCATGCTTGGCACTTTAAAATGTGCCCCATGCTGCAAATTTGTAGCACAGGTGCAAAATTTGCTATCAGGAAATCCTGGTAGCAAGGGAAAAAAATGCCACAAAAAAGTGGCACAGCACACGCCACAGTGATAGCACAATGAAAAGTTGATATGTTAGGGGTGCTGGCTTCCTACGCAATATTGTAGAATCCTGCCATTGTTTAAAAAGCAAATAATCTCAACTTGAAGTCCCCCAAACTAAGGATAAAGATTTGAATTTCCCCAAACTTCATGGGTCAACTCCAACTATGTTAAGGTTGGAAATGGATCTAATTTTTCTATGTGACGATACTCAGCCAAGGGTTACACCAGTGGAAATCAGTTAAAATGTGGGCACAGGGACCTAACACAGAAAGTTCTTCCCCTGAAAGCTCCTACTATTCCTGTAGGATGAGTGCAATCTAGGAAACCTCATCATGACTAAAGGACATTGCTGGACATTACCAGGAATGTTACAGTGTAACAGTGTTACCAGGAGAGCCAGGATTCAGCACACGCCCTTAGCAAGGGGTGGGCAAAATATGGCCTGCGGGCCAGATTCAGCCTGCAGGGCCCCTAAAAAAATTAGAAAATTAATATATATGTGCTCCTGGGTGCCTGTCAAAGATGACAGGCACCAGAGGCAGTAGGACCCAGGGGGGGCCAGCAGCAGGATGCAGCAGTCCAGCTCTGCCCCCCCCCCAGCCATTTCCCTGCCTTCCTGCTGTGCACTGCTCCAGCACACCATGTGGCTCCTGGATGCATTGCTAGACCAGGAAGCACAGGGCTGTGCCGGTACCCAGGTGTGTGTGTGTGTGTGTGTGTGTGTGTGTGTGTGTGTGTGTGTGTGTGTT